TCCTTCCCCATAAAAATCGACTCGTAAGGTTTATAGCAATATATGATAACTTCATGTCTTCAAACTCGACAATCTAATTTCAGTCCGAACAATAGTTGCCAAAGAATTGTAATTACTTAAAATGCAAATAAAGATTATTTGTATTATTGTATGTGAACTTTGTGGACGATTTAATGTGTAGTTTCATTGGTAATTGGTGAGTCAAGCAAGATGACATGAATGCTGTCTTAACTTTAGGTAAACTGTGACCTCGTATGCCCATACAGATCTGTTAAAAATACTTCAACATATTTATATTGAAACAAAGATATGCTATAAAAATGTTCGGGAAGCTCAATTCTCTCGTGAGCTTTCTTCTGCCAAACCATCATTAAAGTAAATTAGATTGACAAAAAAGGTCAAATTAAACAAAAAATAAAAGATTCAAATAGTCGCATTTTAAATATTTTTATTTTTTTAAAAGAAAATAAGATTGCATAATACAATTAAAAAGTATTGGGTTTATCTCGAATTATCAGTGTTATTATTTAACAGTCTCAAGAGGGGTCAAAACAAATAATTTATTTTGTTGTTATGTGATCATCAAGTTATCTTTGTGTCTGGCGATAGCGTGATCTTTAATTTTCATAATAAATAATTATTATTTCTATAGGTAAATTGAGACACTGTGATGAGTTTTTTTATTGTTTAGATGGGGGAACGTGCTCACGGCCCGCCTGGTATTAAGTAGTTATCAGAGCCCATAGACATCTACAACGTAAATACTGCTATTTACCTTGAAATATGAGTTCTAAGATCTTAGTTTCACAGTACAAGGACTGCCCCACCCTTCAAACCGAAACGCATTACTGCTTCACGGCAGAAATAGAAAGGGTGGCCGTACCTACCCGTGTGGACTCACAGGAACACCAGTAATTATGAAAATTATAATTTTGCGGGTTTTTTGATTTTTATAATGTTATTCCTTCACCGTGGAAGATAATCGAGAACATTTGTTAAGTACGTATCTCTTAAGAAAAATTGGTACTTGTCTGCAGGATTCGAACACCAGCACAGTTGCATCACTCTATACCAAAACACCGCGCGTGGCCACACTCCTTTAGGCCACGTCAACTTCAAAAACGATTTTGGTTTTATTAAAGTATTTTTTTATAAAGCTTTGTATCATTTAGTCTCAACATTGTTATTGTAGTTTTGAGCCAAGAGCTCAAGAAGTTCGATCTTCGAGATCGTCTCGGGCATCTTGTGAGACCGCACGGGAAAGTACCACTATCCCGACCTGTTTCTGCAGTGAAACAATAAAGCGTTTTGGTTTGAACAATGACGTAGCCGTTCTACTATAAAACTGAGAATTACGACTCAGGTCTCAAAGTGAGTCCTGGTATTTACTCTGCCTATTCCGTCTGAGCTGAGCTGCAATAGAGAGAGAGAGAGAGAGAGAATACACTTTATTGCACACCAACACAATTTACATTTAAAAAAAAACAAACAGTCAAAAAGCACATATGTACAATAGGCGGTCTTATCGCTAAAAGCGATCTCTTCCAGACAACCGTTTAATTTACAGAAATTTTGTAAAATATAAAAAATATAGCAGGTATGTTGCGGTGTACCATATACATTATTATGGAAAATATATACATATAATAAACAGATATATACCGTTTACATAATATAATATATACTAATATACATACTTACATACAATACATACTAATATACTTACACACACATAATAAATCAACAGTATGGAAATTATAAATGATAATGATGCAACAAACAGCACTAAGCAGATAAGTAGTGTTCCTTCACCATTCTTTTAAAACAGTTTAAAGTTGGAGCACTTCTCACTGCATCCGGCAGAGCATTCCACAATCGAACCGCCTGGACGNTGTGAAAAAAAAAAAAAAAGGTGAAGGCGATAGGTGATGGTATTCACGTTGTGACGTCTCGGTGATCCAGTAACCACATAACATCAGATGGGTCGCGAGCGCGTCCCTCTGCGTACTGTTACGAGGATTTAAGTATGAAGAGCTAAATCTTCCATGGCCGCGAGACGACCTGTTCATTCAGTTTTCTTTTTATTCGTTAATGTAACTTCAGTTAATAGCTTAGATAAGCAAGTTTCTAAACGAAGGGCAAATTGAGCAACTAATTCCTTAGGTAATTGCTGAAGAAATTTTTTTTTTTTTTATTGCTTAGATGGGTGGACGAGCTCACAGCCCACCTGATGTTCAGTGGTTACTGGAGCCCATAGACATCTACAACGTAAATGCGCCACCCATCTTGAGATATAAGTTGTAAGGTCTCAGTATAGTTACAACGGCTGCCCCACCCTTCAAACCGAAACGCACTACTGCTTCACGGCAGAAATAGGCAGGGCGGTGGTATCTACCCGCCCGGACTCACAACAGGTCCTACCACCAGTAAAAAGTAAGATCTGAAAGTAAATGCGCATAATGCTTTGTTTCTCCAAATTGAGTCTTTAAAAATTCACTTAATTGGTTCCAGTCTTCGAATTCTTTTATAGAACAAGCTGTTTCAGCCTTACCTTCGAGTTGAGATAATATGTATTTGAGTAGAATAGGTTCTTGAGATTCTGTAGCTAGATCAATAGCACTTTTACATATAGACAAAAATGAATTTAATTTATCTCTAGAGCCATTAAAAAGGCTTTATGAATTTAAATAGTGCACTAATATGAACACGTTCGGCTTATTTTTCACCTTTTACAGACATTTTATCTATTTAAAATACAACAAAATAGAGAAAATTTTCTAAACGAACAAAAATATAATGCAAAAATTAAACTTGGATTCGATACGGTGCAATAGACGGTCACGAGTTGAGCGACTAAGGTTTCGTATTACTGTACTGATAAGCTCGTCTGGATATAATTTACAAGTGACGCTTTTATTTTTATGTGTCGTTCACGAACATTAATTGTTAACTAGTGACCCCGCAGCAGTCGAAATTCGACTATAATTAATTGGAATTGTAAGTTTGTACACTATTATGATTGTATTTTATACTTCTATAATCATAAATTTCGCCAAAACTACACTATAAAAAATATTAACAAAGACAAACAATATTTAATCTATTCTCAATTTGACAACAGACGCCAAGAACAAAAGTTTGACAATAAATAGTATGCATGCGTGTGTGCGTCAAATACATGGTATGTAGTGTGTGTAATGTTTTCTTTATTATTTTAATGTATCATTTATGCATTATTTTAAATAAATATTACCATTGTGCACTTCTTCTCTACATTCTCTTTAAGTGTGGAAAATTTCATACTCCTCCGTCCGCGCAATTTTCGTAAAAAGGGACACAAAGTTTTTGCTTCACGTATTAATATATAGATAAATATAATTACGAGTACTGATCGCTAAATATTAAGTATAAAGAATAATTTAAAACAATTGAATAATAAGAGAAAATTGAGTAACGTTATGAATCTTTTGACTCACAGTCCGACGAGAAATATTTTCATGATGTAATTTTCAGGATATAGAGTTGTGCACGTCCGGATTCTGGAGGGCACGGTGTTATCTTCTTCCACGAGATCCAGGGCTTGTCTTCTTCCACGGGACACAGAGTTTTCTTCTTTTACAGGACACAGCGGATACAGAGTTCTTTCTTTCACACGATGCAGAGGTTTCTTCTTTAACGGGACACAGAGTTTTCTTCTTTCATAGGACACAGAGTTTCTTCTTTCACAGGATACAAAGGCTTCTTCTTTAACAGGATAAGAGGATACAGAGTTTCTTCTTTCACAAGACACAGAGGATACAGGGTTTTCTTCTTTCACAGGACGCAGAGTTTTCTTCTTTCACGAGACACAGAGAATACAGAGTTACTTACAGGATACAGAGGTGAGTTCAACGCGCTGGTGGATATTGATTGACACTGCCGAAATTGAATAAAATAACGGCGACGAACCGAGGATACCGAAATATCCCACCGCTGCCACCAATTTTGTTACGAGGATTTATTAGAAAAGCTTTTTAAAAAAAGAACTTTATTTAATTTTAATAATTAAAACATTTGAAATTAACAATTGAAATTAATTGGGGCAAGTGTCACCGGGAGCGCGGTTAGAATTGAACTGCGTGATCTATTGGCAACCTAACTAAGCTGCATTACGTCGTGCACCTTACATTGAATTTTTATGTACATTAAAAATATATAACAGTACGCAATAAAAAATCATTATTTCGTCTTCTAACAGTCTTTTGAAAAATTGCAAGTAATCAACGACACTGCTTAGAGTTTCGATCGCTGTAAAAGCTACGTTTTGTCTATCATATTAGAAAAGCTTGTTGCTATAGTAGCTTCTTTTGTCTCTCTTTATTCTTTAAACTAGCTACCCGCTCTCGCTTCGCTTCGGAAACATTAAAACACACATGAAACCAAAAAAAAAAAAAAAAAATTAAAAAAGTAGCCTATGTTCATCAGGGACAATGTCGGCTTCTAATGGAAAAAGAATTTTTCAAATCGGTCCAGTAGTTTCGAAGCCTATTCGAAACAAACAAACAAACAAATCTTTCCTCTTTATAATATTAGTATAGATTTTACTTAATCACGTGAATAACGTTTACTAACGTTACTCAATTGTTTTCATTATACTCCTGGCTGAGCCTCCGCTAGCCCACCTGTCCTAGTAAGCCTGGAAAGGCCTCCGGGACACCAGCAAACTTTCAATCATAAAAAAATTGCTTTCATCATGTTTTCGTTTACAGTTTTACAAATATTTCATAATTTTCCATTCCTTTTTTTTGATTATATAATAATAACAAGAAAAAAACGTTATATCAATTTCTTTATCATCATCGTTGAAATTTATATTCAGTAATTCAAATTATGAGACTGGTTGAAAAGGTCAGCAGATTACGTTGATAAAGAAAGCATAACACTTGTTGCTAATGAATGCGTTTCGGGAGAAGATAAAGTGTGGGTATAAATATTCGAAAACGGATTGCAGAAGCACAGTTTGCTTCTAGGCTGGAAACCATGAAGTCTGTCTTAATTCTGGCTGGGCTTGTAGCCGTCGCGCTCAGCAGTGCAGTACCAAAGCCGAGCACCATAAAGACAAAAAATGGTAAGCGTTAAATCGTAGTGCTCTATATTAATACGCTTTTATTAGCTTCAGACATATGTATGTTTGTAACGGAATCTTTGAACATGATTTTGATCCCCTTCAAAACGTCAGATTAACTCGAAATTTGGCATACTCATTAAGGACCGACGACAATTCAATATTAAAAAAAATATTGAAAAAGTTGAAATTCAACTAAAAAATGAAAAACAAAAAAAAGTTTAAAAAATTACCAAATACGCCTTTATAGAAAATCCAACTAAAAATAAAAAATAAATTTATTAAAATTTGATTTTTTAGTTGGATTTTCTATAAAAGCGTATTTTGTTTTTAATAAACTTTAACTAGAGTCGAAACTTTTTTAATAAGGCCTCATTTTTGTGTAGTATAATAGTAATACAATAAATACGATTTATTCTTTAAAAAAAATATAAACCTGTGCTATCGTAGAGCCGTGTGGTTTTGGTTCTATAGGTTCTTTTTTATGTTAGCCCACTCCAAATAAAAAAAGAGAGGGTACTCAATTCAAAATGTACGTTTTCATTATAGTCCTTATTACGTAAAGCTTATACGAACGTTATATCTTTAACTATGCATACAGCCGTTTATTGAATCATTGTTGTTATAAATTGTTTTACCTTTGCTATAGGCTCACATCTCTTTCTGAGGCGTGATTTAGAAAAGGATGCACGATGCGTGATCCAATTTGGAATTTGATAGCTCGGCCTCATCTCCTGCCTCATAGCAAGGCCGATTTTGTGAGGCCTGGTATCTAAACTAAAAAGAACAAAACCGCACTTACCCCGCAACGCGCCGACTAGGTTGCACTGTTGCTATACCATCATTTGTATGTTGGTATATTATTACCGCTGTAACGTATAGGTACATTACCGCCAGTATTGCATATGTTGCACGATGAACATGTTCAATATATGTAAAATTTACAATTTAAATACGTCACCGTTTCAACACAAAACTATTTGCAAATGGATTCATCATTCATCATCTAAACTCGTCGTGGCCTAAAGGATAAGACGTCCGGTGCATTCGTGTTGAGCGATGCACCGGTGCTCGAATCCCAAGCGGGTACCAATTTTTCTAATGGAATACGTACTCAACAAATGTTCATGATTGACTTCCACGGTAAAGGAATAACATCTATACTAATATTATAAAGAGGAAAGATTTGTTTGTTTGTTTGTTTCGAATAGGCTCCGAAACTACTGGACCGATTTGAAAAATTATTTTTCCATTAGAAGCCAACATTGTCCCTGATGAACATAGGCTACTTTTTTTAAATTCTTTTTTTGTTTTGTTTCATGTGTGTTTTAATGTTTCCGAAGCGAAGCGAGGTCGGGTCGCTAGTCGTGTAATAAAAATCAAAGCCGCAAAAATTATAATTTGCGCAATTACTAGTGGTAGGACCTCTTGTGATTCCGCAAGGGTAGGTACTTGAGACCTTAGAATTTATATCTCAAGGTGGGTGGTGCATATACGTTGTAAATGTCTATGGGGTCTAGTAACCGCTTAACACCAGGTGGACTCGTTCAGCCACCTAAGCAATAAAAATAAAATAAAAAAATCATCAAAATACAAAATCAACCATTGTAGGTTTATACCGTTTTGACTAAGTAATAAAGAAAAGCAGGTTTTTTTTTTACAAACAACCAAATTATGTAATAAAAGTAAATATAGTAAGCTATGAACGACCGATTAGTGGTAACATATCGGCGCTGGTAGTTCCTAATGTGCTTTGATGCCAATATGTATCTCAGAATTGAAGTTATTCAATACTTTCCAGATAATAATGACATCTAAGTGATATCGCTTATTCGTAAATACTGCTTTATAAAATATTTACATATATTTTTTTTATTCAGTGGATGCCGTATTTGTTGAAAAGCAAAAGAAAATTCTGTCCTTCTTCCAAGATGTGAGCCAACTAAACACTGATGATGAATATTATAAAATTGGCAAAGACTATGATATCGAAATGAATATGGACAACTACACTGTAAGTACTAATAATTAATATCAATTTAAATTTAACGTGAATTTGTTTCTTTCTTTCTTTCTTTATTGAAAACCATGTTTCATATTTAACAGAACAAGAAAGCTGTTGAAGAATTTCTGAAGATGTACAGGACTGGTTTTATGCCTAAGAATTTAGAGTTCTCCGTTTTTTATGACAAGATGAGGGATGAAGCTATTGCTCTATTCCATTTATTCTATTACGCTAAGGACTTTGAAACGTTCTACAAGACTGCCTGTTTTGCGCGTGTGCATCTCAATCAAGGTCAATTCTTGTATGCCTTCTACATCGCTGTTATCCAGCGCTCTGATTGCCACGGTTTCGTTGTTCCTGCTCCGTATGAAGTATACCCTAAAATGTTTATGAATATGGAAGTGCTGCAAAAAATTTACGTAACAAAGATGCAAGATGGCCTCATTAATCCTGAAGCCGCAGCTAAGTATGGCATTCACAAGGAAAACGACTACTTCGTTTACAAAGCCAATTATTCTAACGCCGTTTTATACAATAATGAAGAACAAAGGCTGACATACTTCACTGAGGATATTGGCATGAACGCTTACTACTACTACTTCCACTCTCATTTACCGTTCTGGTGGACATCAGAAAAATACGGAGCCCTTAAAGAGCGTCGTGGAGAGGTTTACTTCTACTTCTACCAGCAATTATTGGCTCGTTACTACTTTGAGCGTCTTACCAATGGACTTGGTAAGATTCCCGAATTCTCATGGTACTCTCCGATAAAGACTGGATACTATCCATTGATGCTAACTAAGTTTACACCCTTCGCACAAAGACCTGACTACTACAACTTGCACACCGAAGAAAACTATGAAAGAGTAAGATTCCTTGACACTTATGAGAAGACATTCGTTCAGTTCCTCCAAAAGGACCACTTTGAAGCCGTAAGTTCGAACATTAAGTGTGTAATCTTATTGATTTATTTCTAAAATGTATGATTTAATAGATTTTTTCATTTATAGTTCGGACAAAAAATTGATTTCCACGACCCGAAAGCCATTAACTTCGTCGGCAACTACTGGCAAGATAATGCAGATCTGTATGGAGAAGAAGTCACAAAAGATTACCAACGTTCTTACGAAGTATTTGCGCGCCGTGTGCTAGGTGCTGCGCCTATGCCATTCGACAAGTACGTTTAAAAAATATTTTCAAAACTTAATTTTTAATAAGCAATGACGACAACTCTTTTCTACTTATATCCAAGTCAACCGTAATCCGGATTTGTCTTTGTACGTTTGCAAAAGAATTAATAGTAATAGTTTCTTCATGCTACTTTTTCAGGTACACTTTCATGCCTAGTGCAATGGACTTTTACCAGACTTCTCTTCGTGATCCTGCTTTCTATCAGCTCTACAACAGAATTGTGGAATACATCGTTGAGTTCAAGCAATACTTGAAGCCTTACACTCAAGACAAACTTTACTTTGATGGTGTCAAGATAACTGATGTTAAAGTCGATAAATTGACAACATTCTTCGAGAACTTTGAATTCGACGCCAGCAACAGCGTGTACTTTAGTAAAGAGGAGATTAAGAACAACCACGTCCATGACGTTAAGGTGCGCCAGCCACGATTGAACCACAGCCCCTTCAACGTTAACATTGAGGTTGATTCTAATGTCGCCAGTGACGCTGTTGTCAAAATCTTCCTGGCTCCCAAATACGATGACAACGGAATACCTCTCACATTAGAGGACAACTGGATGAAATTCTTCGAGTTGGACTGGTTCACAACTAAACTCACCGCTGGTCAGAACAAGATTATCCGCAATTCGAATGAATTTGTCATATTTAAAGAAGACTCCGTGCCAATGACTGAAATTATGAAGATGCTCGACGAAGGAAAAGTACCTTTTGATATGTCGGAAGAGTTCTGTTACATGCCTAAAAGACTCATGCTGCCTAGAGGTACTGAAGGTGGATTCCCATTCCAGCTCTTTGTTTTCGTCTATCCATTCGACAACAAAGGCAAGGACTTGGCTCCTTTCGAATCTTTTGTTCTTGACAATAAGCCTCTTGGCTTCCCTCTGGATCGCCCCGTTGTTGATGCATTATTCAAGGTTCCTAACATGTATTTCAAGGATATTTTCATTTACCACGAGGGTGAACGGTTCCCTTACAAATTCAATCTTCCTTCGTATGACACACAGTCTAATGTTGTTCCAAAAAATTAAATTTAAATAAACTGATGAATTTTGCATCCGTAATATCCAAAGAAAATGTAAAAACTTTAAGTATAACTGTTATGATTTAGAAAAAATAAAATCAAGTAGGTAAAATTATAATTATGTATTTTTATTTCATTCATTTTTTATGTTAACTTATATTACAAAAATCCTTGAGCGCTTAGTTGATATCAAAGTACATAAATATACTTTTTTTTTAACAAAACTACAAACTCAAAAACCAAAAGAATATTAATACAGATTTGAAGAAAAATAGCCTGATTCATCAACGTCACTCTTTCTGTGGTAAATTTTGATATCAAAAAGCCTATAGTTAGATGCCAACGAATTTTGAAAACCCGAATTTCTATGAAAAGGAAAACCTAAAGGTTTTGTATCGTACTCATAAGAGACTTGTTTATAATAATTTACTTCTGGTGCATGATCCATTACTGAAGAATTTTCTGAAGGGGTAATTATAATAGCCAACTTAAAGTTTAGACCAGATTCAAGTCCTCGAGGTATTGCCAAGTTGCCGGGAAATTTAAACAAATTGAATTTTGTACCTTTACGTGCAGATTTTTTATAGTCGTAGTTATGGAAGTAATGCTGTGAAATATCGTCTTTAAAATATGAATATTTTTTTGATTTATGTGGATTCCAACTGATTACGTTAAGTCCTGTATGTAGAGTGAAGTTAAAAATATCCAATTCGTAAAACTCCTCAAAACGTTCCCAACAGTTGTTGAAGCTACAGTTGGGTCCCAAAAAGAGTCGTACTATGACATTTTTGTCAATTTTGGAGTCAACGGTAAAATTTAATGTTAAAGGTGAATGATTTATTCGTCTTTGTCTTGCGAACATCGGCCATTTTCTTGATATGTAACCAGTTTCAGCAGACAAAATTTTGTTCAGCGGTATACGATAGTATTCAAAAAAAGTTTCCATTTTAGTAAAATTGGCACCAGTAATATTAAAATCTTCTGTTGTATACTCTTCCATTAAGAACGGATCCATGAAATGTCGAAAATACTTCATTACGTTCAAATAATACTCTATCATCTTCCAAAAGGTAGGGTCTCTTAGTGATGTTTCAGGGTGATAAAATACGGAAGGTGCGGGGTTGTATCTGAAATAAAAAATAAAAAAAATTCACAGCACCGATGTACTATAAGAAAATTTCTAAGCTCCATGAACAAAACTAAGTCATTCTACATTTTGAATTGCTCACGTGCCAATACCGCACAATTGTGCTTTTAATTAAAAGTATCTAGCTTTTTTATCAGCTCACAGAGATCCACTGCTGAACGTAGACCTCTCCAAAGGATCGCAACACTAAACGGGTCCTGCATCCTTTTATACACTTACACTTTTAGCAGGTCGTCAGCACAAATCGTAGGAGGCCTACCCGCTACCTTCTTTGAGTGACTTTGAGACTTCTGATAATATCCATTGACCGCGACCATGTTTCATTGCCGTATATAGTTATAATCACTTGAAACACACATTGGTCGAAGAGTTTTGTCTCAGGTTTTTTGGAAAAGAAGATTTTGCGCAGCTTTCCGAACGCTACCCAGCCTAATTGGATTCGACGATTGACCTCTTTCTCGAAATTGGACAAATTGTCCAAGTTAGACACATTTGTCTACTGCTTAGAGCGTAAAGCTTTCAAACATAACTGAATTGGGCACTACATGGACATTCAAAATAAGTTTCGTTTTGTCCATGTTCATACTAAGGCCCACTCGGACAGAAGCCTTATTGATCTCACTTTACTCAGGTCCTCCAAGATCTCGGTCATAATCACGATAATAATTTTAAATAAGCCAAAGATAATTACTCGTCAATAGGATGTCTGTTGCGCATATTACCAAATATTTCTCTTAAGATTTTCGCCATTCTTGCATTATCAAGGTTTGACTTGATTAATTTAGCCATTATGCTCACGTGATCGTCATTATTCATATTTAATGTGATGCCATCCTTAAAAAAGAGATGATAAAAAGATCAAATATTTATTATCCTTACATTAAGTATAGGACGTTTCAAAAGGAGCTAGTAGGAAATACTTACCATAACAATAAATCCTCTTTCAATACACTTACGTATGTTTATCCACACACCCTCCGCTTCAGCTCTTTCGTCTGTCCAATCCAGTTCATAATTTATATATCTAATTGGAAACCGTAATCCATTGTCGTATATCAAAGATGGGTCATACTCAGTTTCGTTAGGATAGCTATGATTCATGTGCAGTAGATGCTGTTTTTCCAGATTATAACGAGCCACTAACTGTTGGTGTGTATTAAAGAAATGTTCCGCATGTCTTAGGTTTAACAGATCCAATTCATCGTTAGACATCCAAAAAGGATGTAGCAAATGCACGCCCATATAATAACAATTAAGTGAAATGTCCTCCCGAAAATAATTGATTCCTTGATCATCTCCGTTGTAGACCAGATTCCAACCAGAATAATTTGTATTAATTGATATGAAACCATGATCTTGATAATACTGATGCTCGGCAGCTTCAGGGGGCAGAACGTTGCGATTGCTCATGACTAATCGGAGTTTCATTGCTTTTATAATAGTTTCCGAATTAATGAAATAATTAGGTTTTTCAATGTAACATGGATTTAGAGATATTTTATTTCTGTTCAACTTATAGCTGTATAAATAGTTCAATTTTTCCGCATACCTCAGTATATCGTTATTTATGTTTAAAACTGACCAGTCGTAAATTTTTTCATAGTCGTCTTGTTCAACTTGTTGAAAAAGACGGAATAATGCTATGGCAGCTTTCCTCATGTCATCGTCATAAACAGTAAAAGTTCGACCTTTCGCGGTAATCCCGTTCTTTACATATTTGTAGAAGTTTTTATAATATGTATTATTCTGAAAACGTTTAAAATTTGCATCTTATTTTTTTGATCTAAATTGTCTTAACATTTTTATTAATAGTATGCTAACTCACAGTATTCAGGACTTCGTCAACTTTTTTTGATTCGTGGGCATGGGGCGAAAATCCCGATGGAACTATTTGCATTAAGAATTTATTTTCATCATATGCGATTTCTGGAAAGATATTTATATGATGTTTTGAATTATTCAATATTAATGATCAGTTTTTTTTTTTCAGTCATTCATACTTATTCCACGATTACTACTAAAGCTCATAAGACTAAATGATTAAACCATCGATTTTAACAACAAGAGAAAGATTTTGTTTGGTCATTACATAATTTGTTTAATTAAAAATTGAGCTGGTTTTGTAGCTCGATCTCTTTTGACTTAAAAATTTAAGTAACTGACCTCTCCTAAATAATAATTTAGAGTGGTGTTAAAATTGCTTGAATTAGATAAATGGTAAATTACGTACCACCTTGATGCATGAGACGAAATTCATCTAATGGATCTGAAACTACTATTGCAACTAAATACAACGTGATCACAGATAGCACCAACATGGTTGGTGGCATAATAGCCCACTATCTCTAACACTATGTCGCCATGTCTTTTATCCTTACTGGATAGCACCACATTGGTCCTTTGTACCCTCTTAAGATCGCGAGTACGGATTAATAGGAATAACTCACATTGGTACGGAGAAGGTACAGAGAAGTGCAAAAGTATAAACCTAAAGTCAGTTTTTGTAATATTTTTTTTTTTAGTTTTAAACAATTTTTTTTATTATGTTAATTGTGAAAATATAACATTTTTACAGAATTAAAATAGAAATAGTTGTCTTTAATTGTCCTAGAAAAAGTATGAAGATTATTATGACTAGGTATATATTCTGACTAGCTTAGAGCGCATATGATTAAAAAGTAAGCAATGAAAATGCGCCACCCACCTTGGGATATAAGTTCTAAGGTCTCAGTATAGTTACAACGGCTACTCCGCCCTTCAAACCGAAATGCATTACTGCTTCACGGCAGAAATAGGCCGGGTTGTGGTACCTACCCACGTGGATTCACAAAAGGTCCTACCACCAGTAACTACGCAAATTATAATTTTGCGTGTTTGATTTTTATTACACAATGTAATAACATAAGGAATACCTTAACCGTGGAAGTCAATCGGGAACGTTAATATAATATGATATAATAAAGACTGGTATGCTTGAAAATCATTACTAATAAGGGATAATACGGTAATATCGTAATAATGTTGTGATAGGCAGCGACTTAGCTATGCTCCTGGCATTACTAACGTCCACGAACGGTAACTACTTACTTACAGCCCACAAGGGCAATAAAAATACTCCATTAGTAGTTGATGTGCAATTGTTATGAATTTTGAAATAGAAATATAAATAAACTCTTTACCGTAGTCCAAACATCGCATCCTGAATGCCACTACCCAGTCAAAATCTTAATGTCGATCTTAATCGAAGTCTCAATTGAGTTCATACAGTGGTACTTCACTTTCAAACAACAATGCAAGATACCATGCCACCGGTGTAGAAGATACGCGGAGAAAGTAGAGGAACACAACGGAACATGAAAGACACTATCAATTGAGTTTCAGTCTCAATTTTCAGAAACAATTTTTAGAGTTGAAGCTGAAATACACGACTGCTTTGCGAGATATACCCAGGACCGTGGTACCTAATTATTTGGGCTCAAATTACCTCAAGCCCATATTTGAATATTCCTAAGTTAAGCGAGGAAAAAGAAATGGAATAAATATCTCAGTACGCCTCGTCGCGACAGTACATTACGTTTGAAGGAAGCGATAATTTTCCAATTGTCTGTCTTCGTGCACGGTTAATTTTGGTCAAGAGGCAATTTATCACTTCCAGGGCGTTGTTTGTTAGAAATGCATAATAATGTACTCGAAGACGCTATGTTTCTGGAGCTATTTATTCCGCTACATCACAGTAAAATTATGAAATACAAGGTAAAAAAGCTTTTTTTTTACGTCCAGTGGTTACTGGAGCCCATAGACGTCCACAACGTAAATGCGCCACCCACCTTGAGATATAAGTTCTAAGGTCTCAAGTTTAGTTACAACGGATGCCCCACCCTTCAAACCGAAACGCATTACTGCTTCACGGCAGAAATAGGCAGGGTGGTGGTACCCACCCGCGCGGACTCACAAGAGGTCCTATCACCAGTAATTACGCAAATTATAATTTTGCGGGTTTCATTTTTATTACACGACGTTATTCCTTCACCATGGAAGTCAATCGTGAACATTTGTTTAGTACGTATTTCATTAGAAAAATTGATACCCGCCTGAGATTCGAACACCGGTACATCGCGCTCAACACGAATGCACCGGACGTCTTATCCGTTAGGCCACGATGACTTCAAAAAGTCCCAAAACAACGGCTTATTTCTAATAGCTTTGTCCTTGACTTATTAGCAACAGAAGAAAGGTATTGAAAGTAAAACAAATTATACAAAAAAAATGACTATTTTTGTATTGTAGGAATCTTAAAAGTTATTCTTGAAGTAAAGGTGCAATGCGTTATAAATATTAGCATTAAGTTGATTACAATGCAAAAAAAAAAAAACTCGTCACTAGTGAATTATTCCAAAAATAACTCTTTGGAACGAATTCAAATACGTTCGTGACCTACATGATGCAGGTACATAAATAACAAGCACATTTCTACAAGATAGACAAAATCGGTACGTATTTAATTTTTTTCTTTCAGTTTATACAACCATGCTAATACCGCATTCGATTTGTACTAGTATTGAAGTCTTAGTTATTTTTAATACAATTTACAAAATAAATACTAATCATAATAATACTATTGTGAATCCTTGCTTCTCTGGGCTTAGTCTCCAGTCATCATCTCCATGAACTCTGTAAGAGAAAGAAATAAAAGTGAACGATTAAAACCTTGAAACATAAAAATTCCAGCGAGCGCGTAGATCAAAACAATCGTAAATAATATGATATGTTTGGTTCAGGACCGGCGTACCATTGCTATTTAATGTATAATACGAGACGTGCTAAAATTTATGATCTGATCCTAAAAACGGTTTCGTAAAAAAACAAATAAACGGAATAACATAGATCATAGGATCTTGTTAAATTTTTCATCTAAACAACATCAGAGGAATTGTTTGGGCTAATTTACATACAATGTCATTCATCTTGAGAACGTTGATGTACTGTTTATAGTACTTCCAGATGTTTGAAAGATCACAATATACAGAAAAAATATGTTTCTGTATATACTTAACAATTACATATTAACTACGAGTTTTTATTTTTTAACTTATGGAAATAATCTAAATGCGACGAATATTTCTAGGACGAGTTTTTTTTTTTTTTCGAAGCATATCTTAATTATTTTTCATTGATTCTTTAAGATATTTTCCATGACATTTTTCTTAAATTGCCTACACTTTATGGATGCTAAGGTAAACAAAGAAATAATAATTTATTTACTATCGTCGGTCGATTCTCGCATTTGTATTTCCTTTGTTAAGATACTACATGACGAACAATATAATTGTACGAGTAACTCACCATCAAAGTCCACAGTTCCTGAGCCGTCAGTGTCAATTTCAGCAATGATGCCGTCAAGATCAGCGTTGCTGAGTTTATCGTCAAGAGCGGCCAGGATCTCTTTCAGTGTTGAAGTGGTGATGTAACCGTTACCTTCACGGTCGTATAATCTGAGAATAAATGATATTAAGAAAATGATTATTTTGACGAGTAGTGTTGTCACGGTTGACGGGTAGGTCTTTAAAAAAAAAAAGGTGTTTTTTTTATTTTTTAAATTACTCGTATTTCCTTTAGATAAATCGCTTGTGAGGTGATTCAAAATATTGCTGCATGATTGTACTCATGGCTTAAATGGTACAGATGGTCAGCGTATTTTTAAATCTTGCAACAAATCAAATCCTACGCTTTTTCGTAAAATCTAAAAGTCTACGAAATGCATTCTGTTAAAAATAAGTTCTGTTTGTCTTGGCTAGCAAGCCGGTGAAATAATATAGATAATGTAGATCGTGGGTGAAATGTTTGCATTATATAATGGTTCCTATTGTTGCAAAATTCAGATTTTGTTTTTTTTTCCACAAACTTGTGATGAGCATTTCGTTTTATTTACACAATCATCATGGCGACAATATTTTACTAATCCTCCAGAAATATTTGGAACTGGGTAAAAACGCAACAATTCTACATTATGTCCATATAATTTATTGCACCGATGCATTGATTATTTCGTAAGTAAAATAGGGGTTTAAATAGCTCCTTAACATTCTATAATTCAAAAATGTCTTCACTTTCTACATAAATGAAGTAGGGGTAAAATTTAGCGTTATGCCAAAGTAACTATTCCATGCGGACGGAGTCGCGGGCAAAAGCTAGTCATATTATATCTTTAGAATAAGAGCCGTTACTACGTTAAGTAGGTACGTATAGTCGTATGTTTACGAGTCATCATTATCAGCCTGCGGCACTCCACTGCTGGACATAGGCCTCCCCCAAAGCTCGCCACTAAACCCGATATTCGGTTCTAGGCATTCAGTTACTGCCAGCTGCCTTGCGCAGGTCGTCGCTCCATCTAGCAGGAGGGCGTCCTACACTACGTTTGCCGGTTCGCGGTCTCCACTCCAGAACACTTCTACCCCAACGGTTATCGGTTCTGCGACATATGTGACCAGCCCACTGCCACTTCAGCTTATTAACTCTGCGAGTTTACGAGTAGGTAATTAATACTTATAAATTGGTGACTGCTCGCGGTATTTGAAAATTCATTTTTTTCTTCTTTTTTTTTATTGCTTAGATTGGTGGACGAGCTCACAGCCCACCTGGTGTTAAGTGGTTACTGGAGCCCATAGACATCCACAATGTAAATGCGCTACCCACCTTGAGATATAAGTTCTAAGGTCTCAAGTATAGTTACAACGGCTGCCCCGCCCTTCAAACCGAAACGCATTACTGCTGCACGGCAGAAATAGGCAAGTTGGTGGTACCCACCCGCGCGGACTCACAAGAGGTCCTACCACCAGTAAAGCTAAATCACTTGATCGACATTGGACAATTGGACGATAATACACTGCACGAAACGACCGTCAATATGACCTTACATTTTATATGAATGGATACGCTACAGGCAAAAACGAACGAAACTTAATTAAAAAGTAGACTAAACAAATATTTTCATCGGCTCGGCGCTGTAGTGTGTTGGTACTTTGCAGGTATAGTATGTATATGCAATTAATTACGTCTCTGTTTAATATACTCGATTCTAACATCTATTTTATGGTCTATTTGCAATTATTCTAGGCACTATTTTACTTGTGTTTAATGTAAATGTTTTGGGTTTCCCGAACGCGAGAATTTGTTCATTCGCTTTTAGAATAATTATTCTGATTCTTCTATCGTTGTATATGAGAATGAAATGAAAATATCCGTCCTGGAATTTGTAGTGGTGTTTAGTTACATTTGAGATATTTTGTTTTATGCGTATACTCAATATTCGAGGTCATCAATGAAGAAACACGAAATCTTGTGAATATTGAAATATAATATACTATAATATATACAATATATACATTAGTGATCACATGGGCGGGTCCTTCCAAGAG